TGCAGACCTCCCCGAGGTCCCTCAAAAGGACTTCCACCCGGCCCCGTTGCCAGTTCTCACATCCACACACTCTATCCCGACCGCCCTGGACTCTTGTGTTCTGGTGTTTTCAAACCAGTACTCACCAGGGTCTGCGCGCAGATGTTACCCGGTCTGTCTTCAGGCTGTTCCGCACTTTATTCACCCTTCTCCTAATACTCGTCTTTATTAAAATTTTACGGGTTTTCCAAGAGCTCCGCAGTCCTCTGGGTGGGTCCCCTCCTTTCAAAAGGAAAGGGGTGCACCTAAGGAGGACCCCTCAGAGTCCCAGCGCAGATTGGATCCCGGACGAGCCCCCAATTTGTTTGTAGAATTCCTTGAAAGAAATTCAGAGACGAGGTTCGGAGTAGCAGAATAAAGTTTCTTTTATTATCAAAGTTGAGTTTAGTAAAAGAAAACGGTTTGCAAAGCGTGGTGAAACTTAACCATGCACTCCCAAGAGTTGCAGGGAAAAGCCACACCTCCTACAGAAGCGTAACAGCAGTTATACCCCTCCCTATCTCCTCCTATACCTACGTCAGCTATTCCTGACGTGGCAGGTCACAAACCTATCAGACGACACAATTATCCTACCTTACCTCCTACCTTACCATATATGGGTATTCTTTTGTTCTCTACATGTGGACATTCTCTACTTAGTTTCAGGCACGTACTCATGTTTTCTTGCACATGCTCAGTGAGCCTGTTGCTGAATAGAAAATTTTAAACTTTTCTAAAACCTTCCCATTCAAGGGGAATGAGCTGAACCTGTGGCAGCACCGCACAAGCCTGAGCGAGAGATGGCTGGAGCTACAGGGCTCTCAGGGCTCAGCGGAAGCACCAGGATCAGTGCCAGGCTCCAGCTGGAGCTCGGTGCTGATCCTGGTGCTTCCACTGAACCCAGAAGAAGCGCAGATCAGCTGGAATGTTGCAGCATCTCCAGGGTCTTGTGATTTACATTCAGATGCTTGGCAACTGATTCATATTTATGATGGTCACAGTGTCCCAGGGTCATGTGAAGTGACCAAAACCTGCTGCAACCACCCAGCAGATGGGGGGAATAAAAACCAAACACCCCCACCCCTTCCCACTGCCAATCCTCAACAGAAATGCTCACAATGAAAACCTCAGACAGGAGGAAGAGCGCCACCGGGTGGGCAGGCAGGTGTCTTTCTCGGCTGTGGCCTGGGAGGCACTTTTTTCAGTGCTATTGTAACTTCGAACAGTCACTAAGCAAACTGTTGTAAGTCGAGGATTACCTGTACTTTATCGCTTTTTTCCTTTTGGGTGGGGGGTCATCAAGTTTGTGACACCTTGCTAGGCGACTGGTGGTGCTTGGATATTGCCATATCCTAAAAGTGGTACAATGGGTGAAAAGGTTGAAAAGCCCTGTTATAGGGGACAAAGCATGAGTAACATGCTCTCTTCCTACATCACAGGATGGTCTACTTGCAGGATCACTTTCCCATTTTTTTTCTTCCAAGCACTTTAGAAGTTTGTAAAGGAATGTAATGCAAACCTAAGCTATAGATAGATAGATAGATAGATAGATAGATAGATAGATAGATAGATATAAATGTATTGAACTATAGCTTAGGTTTGCATTATATTTCTTTACAAATATATCTATATATATTTGTAAAGGAATGTAATGTAGTTTAATATATAGAGAGACTGAATTATATATAGTATAGTTCAATATATCTCTCTACTCAATATATATATTCAAATATATATATTGAGCTATAGTTTAGGTTTGTATTACATTCCTTTACAAATTTTATAAAGGATATGGATATGGCATAGGAATATGGTATTTGTAAGTTGACCAACCTTTAGGGAGAATAGTCCTCCTTTTTTAAGTTCTGTCCTCCGTCGAAAAGTGTCCTCCTGCATGTCCTCCTTTTCGATATTTGAAGACTGCAGGGCTTTTTTTCCCTCATAGAACGCTCAGAATGGCATTCTGGCACCTTTTTTTGATGGGTTTTTTTTTTTTCAACTTTTGCATGAGCTGTGCTACTCCCCCTATTGGCTTTCAAAAGCCAATAGGAATTGCTGCTGAGTGCGCCAAAACACCTGGCTGGCAAACTTTGCACATGCAAGTTGTCTACAGCGAAGGCAAATTGGCAGGAACGTTGCACCCCTCCCTGCTACCCAACTACACCTTCTCCTAGTTAGTCCTGAAGATACCTGGAGGAGACTGACTTCCAGTTGTTGTTGTTGTTAATTGCGAAGTCGTGTCCGACCCGTCGCGACCCCATGGATAATGTTCCTCCAGGTCTTCCTGTCCTCTACATCTTCTGGAGTCCATTTAAGTTCACACCTACTGCTTCAGTGACTCCATCCAGCCATCTCATTCTCTGTCGTCCCCTTCTTCTATTGCCCTCAATCTTTCCCAGCATTAGGCTCTTCTCCAGTGAATCCTTCCTTCTCATTAGGTGTCCAAAGTACTTGAGTTTCAACTTCAGGATCTGGCCTTCTAAAGAGCAGTCGGGGTTGATCTCTTCTAGGACTGACCGTTTTGAACGCCTTGCAGTCCAAGGGACTCGCAGGAGTCTTCTCCAGCACCACAGTTCAAAGGCCTCAATTCTTTTGCGCTCAGCCTTTCTTATGGTCCAACTTTCACAGCCATACATTGCAACTGGGAAAACCATGGCCTGGACTATACGCACTTTGTTGGCAGGGTGATGTCTCTGCTTTTTAGAATGCTGTCTAGATTTGCCATAGCTTTCCTCCCCAGGAGCAAGCGTCTTTTAATTTCTTGGCTGCAGTCCCCATCTGAGGTGATCTTTGAGCCCAGAAAAATAAAATCTGTCACTACCTCCATTTCTTTCCCATCTATTTGCCAGGAATTGACTTCCATTTAGGGATCGAAAAATAAAAAAAGAGGAAATGCCATTTCAATGATAAATTGAATAAGGAATTTCCATTCATCACATCAAAGAAGGATAACATTGTTTTCTGCAATATTTGCAGCGCAGAATTTTGTATTGCAGTTGGGGGCAGAGCAGCTGTTACGAAACACTTGACCACCAAGAAACATAAGCAATCATCAGATGCATCTGCTTCCAGTTGTAAAGTAACAAGTTTTTTAAAAACTTCAAAGTATTCTGAAGATGAAAAAGAGTTAGCTGCAATGGAGGGAACATTTGCATTCCATACCATACCATAATTCACAATCAAAGTTTTCGCAGTATGGATTGTACAACTAAATTATTGAAAAAGTTTCACAATGCTAAATTTTCATGCTCCAAGACAAAATGCGAGGCTATTATTAAATCAGTATTTTAAAATTACTGTGACAAAATACTTACAGAAGACTTGGAAACTGCAGCATTTGTAAAGGTTTTATCTGATGCATCCAATCATAATGAAACTAAATTGTATCCAATAACTAGTAAGATATTTTAATGTTATCAAGGGCATTCAAGTAAAATTTTTAAATTTAGAATCCATTGAGGGCGAAACTGCTGAAATTTTGTCAAACCATCTATACAGAGTAATAAAACAATTTGAAATCCAAAGTTGTTGCACTAACAGCTGATAATACAAACACAAATTTTGGTAGGCAAAGACGCAAAGGGGTGAATAATGTGTATGTAAAATTACAAGATTTACTCCAAAAGAAAATACTAGGAATAGGTTGTAATGCACATATTTTGTCAAATGCAATCAACACGGCGTCATGTGCCATGCCAATTGATGTAGAAGTAATAATAACTACAATTTATTTGTATTTTAGTCATTTTACCGTTTGTGTGGCTACTTTAAAACAATTTTGTGAAGAAGTGAATGTTCAATACAAAAAACTTTTAGAATATTCAAAAATTAGATGGCTTGCTCTAACACCTGCTATAGAGCATGTTCTACAATTATTTGAGCCTCTCCGTTCATATTTTTTAAGTTTAGACAAATGTCCTAAAATCCTGGAATCATTTTTCAATAATGAAATATCTGAGATATTAATGTATTTTGTACATAATCAAGCATCTATTTTTCACAAAACGATTCAAAAGATTGAAGGTGAACACATTTCAGCTACAGAAGTTAGTCTTATTTTGAATGACTTTATTCTTCAATATAAAACTCAATTTGAAGAAAAATTTCTTCCTTTAGTTATAAAAAGAAAATTGTCAGACTTAGAGGAATCAAATCCGGGCATAACGGAAAAGTTTATCAAAGAAGTGCAGAATTTTTACCAAACATGTTTTCAATATATCGAAGAATGGTCTGAAACAAACATCACAGGAAATAACAGTTTCAATGGTGTTTTATGACTTCATTGCTAGTATATTGGACAAATATTGAATCTTGTGTTGAGTTTTTATCTAAAGAAATGCCAGACATTAAAACAGACAATTGGCTCTTTGAAGAAATTAAAAAATTGAATGTATTTTTAAATTCTGAAAAATTAATACAATGGGAAAATAAACATGTTGAAATTGATAAACGATTGGTGGAGATATTCAGCCATTTCAAAAATGAACATATTCCATGTGAAAATTTATTTATTCTTGTTCAATTTACGTTGTGCTGCCCTGGAACTAATGCAGCAGTTGAAAGGGTTTTTTTCAATTGCTAATGATTTTTGGAAAAGTGAGAAATCAAGATTGAATGTTGATACTCTAGCTGCAGCACTTGCCGTAAAATTCAGTATGAAGATTATTTCTTGTTCAGATATTTCCAATACATTGTTAGAAGATGATACATTGACAAAAAATATTCATTCAATGGAAAAGTACTCATTTAAATAATAATTAATAGGCATGTAAGCATAATTACAATATAAAATGTTATTGTTACAAATGTTTTTATTATGCATTTATCATATTATAGTGTATTCTGAATTATTGTTGCAATGAATAAAATGTTTCTTTTATTTACGATATTTTTTTCTTCAATTTGTTTGTGTCCTCCTTTTCATTTAAAAAAGTTGGTCACCTTAGGTATGTGTGGGGATTCGGAACATGAGCCAGCCCTCCAGCCCTAACAGCCCTATTACTCAAAAATGAAGCTTCCTTTCTTAATTTCATCCACCCACCCGTGGCTCCTTGAGTTCAAAAGCAGATGATGGAGTCTTCCGTGGGAGAGGAACTGCAAAAGGAATGTTTATCAGTGCTCCTTCTGTAGGGCAGGGACACCCAGGAGTGATGGTCTCAGGAGCTCTGTGGAACTGGAAGGAAGACGCTACCCGCCCTTTTCTCCTCCCCCCCATCCAGGAATCACGACGAGATCTTTCTGAAGCGCTTCTGGGAAGAGCGATGTCCTTTGGGGCTCCCAGCGCTTTGTAGATCATCCCCAATGACCGACTCGCAAAGAGCGCGGGGAGCAACAAAGCAAACTGACCTAGAGGAATACTAGAAATCAGAAGAGGGAGAGAGGCGGGAATGAACGTGTCAGCCAGCACCCGCCTTTCCGCCACGTGGCCCCGAGACTGCGGCCGAGGGGCACCAACCGGCGCTGCGAAGCGACTGCGCCAGGAGAAGAAAGAGAAGGCCTCTCTCTACGCGCCCCCCCCTCCCGCCCAAGGCCACCACGCGGATCCGCGCTGCCTGGAGAATTTGGTAACTGGAGGAGGAGATCCATGCTCAACAGCGTTGCTCCCTGCTGCTGTGCCACGCCCTGCCCCGCAGAGGGCGAGGGCTGCCCTGCAGAAGGGGTGTGCAACGGGCAGGGGGAGGGAGGATGGCATCACCGGACTCTCCGGCCCGAAGTCCTTGAGGGCAGGAACGGAGGCAAGAGTTGCTGGGCACTAGGTTTTTCCTCGCTGGCTGCGTTTCCTGCAGCTGGAGCACTAGCAGTGGGAAAAGATAGGGAAGACCGTGCCACGTCCACCTGCAGGTCAGACATATATGCCTTTTAACCATTCTATATATATTTAAAGCAAAATGTTGAGAAATTAGTGGAATAAATGATGGGCTCCACTGCAACCTCTCCCTCTTTAGTGGGTTAGTTTTCTATTTGCAATGAATGATGGGAGAGAACATACTGAGAAATGTATTTCCCCTTAGCTGCAGCTGAAAGTGGTAAAATCTGTACTACCACTGCACCCCATCTTCTGACAGGTAATGTGTGGGAGCAGCATGAAAGGGGTGAGGTGACCCGGAATGTAGAATAATGTGTGGGAAGGAAGAATAAAATATTGCTTCCCTGCTTGATTCAGGTTAGTAAAAGGCACCAAGGATGTGAATTATGGGCTGATTGTTCTTAAAGGCAGCATAGCTGCGCTTGGTGGCAAATTGGACCAGACCGACTTTTCTTCCAGATGGATACTGTCTGTCTTCTCTGGCTGGAAACTTTCTTTTTGCTAGCCCACAGTGTGCAACGGGAACCCCAATGTTCATGGGGTACCATAGCCGTCTCTGTCATTGCAGGTAGCGGTGTTCATTCCAGAGAGATATTTCTACCTCCAGTGACCTGCAGAACGTGAACTGAAGTGTCTTGCCCCTGCCCATCAGCACCAGAATGAAGGAGCCATTTTTAGCAGTTTGGCTCTTCGTTGTGCCAATCAGCTGGGCAGCACCAAAGAACAGCAGTGGCAGGTAGCCCCTAATTGAAAGGGATGAGGGTTTCTGTGACCACAGAGACGGGCAGGAAACTGTCCCCTAAAGGAGCCTTCAGAGCTGAGAATGGGTCAGCAATCCATTTCCCACTCAACGCCTTTGTACCTGCCCCACTCTTTTTATGTCTTCTAGGCCTGACATCTCCCACGATTCCATGGATCAACCCATCCTAAATCCTCTACACCCAAGCCAAGTTTCTCTTAAGTAAGTGCTTGTCATCCAACAGATGTACCTTTCCCAAAATTCAGCCCTTTTGCTACATATGATAGGTTGAGATCCAAAATTTGGAAGAGGGGTGGCTGATTGTCTTTCTGTCCCCTTCTATCCCAGGACATTCCCGTTCCATTTTATCTCCAAAATAACAGGGAAAGATTCCATCTCCACATTCAAGTAATTTATGTATTCCAGCTAAACTTGGGGACTTTTTAGATCTGGTTTGCCTTGGCCTCGGCCTATCAACATATTAATGTTCATAATCAGCCAGGCATATACTAGCTGGATTTAAATTGCTCACTAGCCTAGGCAAAAATGCGAGCTTGGAGTTTATGGTTTAGCAAGTTGTAGGACCTCAACCTATCTTAGGTATTAAGCAGGAATTAAGCATTATTTATTTATTTGAGCATAGCATGGGGTATGAACACAGCAACTGCATTTTGTTTCTTCAGATTTAGGATTTAGTATGTTGGCTGAACTCGGGGATTAAATAACTTATCTGATCATTTGAAGAGTGTCCTTTCCACACCATTGAGGCTGGGTATATGTCCAACAAAATGGATTGGAGGCCCAAATGACTTTGCCCATCTTCTCACTCACTGATTCTGAGAGCTATAGCATTCTCTGTTGCAATGATTGTTATCTTGTCCTCTGAAAGTTCGACAACATATCTGTTCTGTAGCTTGTTCCATCATGGCAACATAATAGACAATGGCTTGGTCTGTTCTAGGGTGCTCCAAGACTATCTGGAGAACATTGGACAGTTGAATGGGGATGCTGCTACCATGTCAAGGGAACAGGGTAAGAACTTTTACTACTTAATGCATGTTGAGAGGGCAAAGTGAGGGCAACTAATAGTTCCTTGCTCTAGAAAACAAGAGACTAGTTTTAAGCACAGATTCAAAAATAGGGGTTCAGGAACATGCCAGCAATGCAAGGGTTCGCTTAGTTCTGTAGCCCTTTTGAAGTTGGAAAAGATATTCCAACAAACAAAGTATACAGGATTATCTGAGTAAACAACAACAACACATAAGAAAAACAACATAAGTTCTGAGTCCACAACAACTAATTTTACAGATTGAGAGAAACATTGTCAGAGCAAATAAAGAAAGCAAAACAAATTATATAAGCTGTCTATCTTTCACCGAAGAAAAAACATCACCTTTTGAAATCAGAGGGCTCGGCTGCAGAGAAGGTGCCGCTTCTCTTATCAATTTGTCTCCTTCAAATTATCCTGCTTGAAGGCAGAGCTGTTTTTGAGTGAGTAGTTATTTTTCAACCTTCTTTGAAATTAACCCCTCAAGTTTCATTAAAATGCAAAGGATAATCAATCACCATTTTCCTCTAAAAATTACCTTTTTGATCACAGCAAGCCTGGCCCTGATAGACAATAAAAAGATGGTGGCTTCCTATGCAATAGTTTGAGATGTTAACTGATTCAACGTGGCCATCTCTGATATTTTGCTTTCACTTTTTAATCTTGTGCTCAGTCTGAACCCGTTTCATGCAAAGCCTATTATTATGTAGTAAACCCGGAGCCTAACATAAATCCCCAGCTTGCCCTGTATAGTTAAATGGCTGAGGTTGTGCTTGGTGGTTTCTCTGTCTTCTGTTCTCAAGACAGAAAGAAAAACAATCCAGTTTTGGATTTTTCGGTCTCCTTTACATGATTTGCAGAGTACTGGAGACAGTTCAGGGTTTTTAGAGTTCTCTTCCCTACGCTTGTTCTCCCAAATAGAACCAGAATACTTTAAAAGAATCTCCCCCATCTAGCTCTCTCAGTGGCTAATAAATGTTAGACATGAAGCAAATTATGCTAGCCACCGATTTTCTGTGGCAGACAATGCCCAGGAATGTGGGAATTCAGCAAACTCAATGCAGAAGAATTTCTCTCAAGCAATCAGAGATATTGTTGGACATGGGCAAAATGAAATGCTCTCGTAATGGATTATAGGTTTGTTTCTGTTGTTGATGCTGATACGGATATAAATGCTGCCTTTCAGGATGGATTCATTCTGTTATTCTAAATTTAGAAATTGTTGCTTGTGATATTTACAACAGCCTGCCTTGCTCCTGTTATACCATTTAAACAGCAGACAGACAGGCATGGAATATTTCCAGGCATAAATTCCACTCATGAACCAGCAAACCCAACTTTGCTTAGCATTCAAAAATGCTTTTAGACCTCATGGTTGGAATATAAGAAACTGAAAATGTAGTGAACATCTATTTTTTAAAGCCTCAGCAGATACTAACAGGAAATGAGCCAAGCTTGGGCCAGCATGTGTTTTACCAAGTGTCAGGGCAGTGATCAGGTGCCAGGCAAGAGTGAAAAACAGCCACCTTAGCTCAGAATGAACTCTAAACTTGTAGATTTTTTTAAATATGGAGAAATCAAAATATGTTGCTAAACTGTGGTCTTCAAACTACTCAAGGCAATCTGAGATTGCACTGTGGGAGAGGAAATCAGATTCCTTAGTCACTCCATGTCCCAGTGATCAAGAAAAGTGGAGTTTGGTGGGAATATTGTTTAGGAAAAACATTAGCATTCACAGAATCATTGAACTGGAAGAGTCTCTTAGGTCACAGGATCCAAACCCCTTGCTCCATGCAGGAATCCAAATGAAAGCATTCTTAACAGATGGCTGTCTAATCTCACCGAAGAGTCCCCTCACATCTCTGTTGAATTGGATCCATTGTCAAATGCTCTTACTACAGCATTAAGAAGCTTTTGCTGACATTCATTGGGAGTCTGCTGTAATGGGCTGGGAGAATATACTTGAAGAGGGGGAAGAGCCACAACCAAGACAACAATAAAAGAAATGTAATCTGAGAAAACATCTCAGAATTGACCCTTCTTAGTTCTCTTATAAATAATGGCAGGGTGGGAGGGGCACTTTAAGGCTTGCAAGATTGTGTTACAGGTAGTCCTTGACTTATGACCACAGTTGGGACCAGAATTTCCATTCCTAACTAAAGCAGTTGTTAAATGAGTTGTGCCCGATTTTGCAATCTTTTTGCTACAGTTAAGCAAATCACTGCAAATCACTGAATCACGCAGTCATTAAATGAATCTACTTCTCCCCATTGACTTTGTTGTTGGAAGCTGGCTGGGAAGGCCGCAAAAGATGATCATATGACCCCAGAATGCTGCAACCATCGTAAATACATGCCAGTTGCCAAGTGCCCAAATGTTGATCACATGTTCATGGGGATGTTGTGACAGTTGTAAGTTAGTCCCTTTTTTCAGTGCCTTTGTAACTTTGACTAGTCCCTAAACAAAAAGTTGTAAGTCAAGGACTACCTGTACTATAAGCATCTAATAAAAGTAGCACTAATTTTCTAGTCTGATCTGCCACGAAGGTTAGCATTTGCTTTGCTTTAGCTTAAATCCATTATTCCACATCCTGCACTCTGATACAATGGAGACTAGCTCCCATCAGTAGCTTCCAGTAGGAGCTGTGTTGGCCTCTGCTATTTTTAAATTCACTATGCATTCCTTCTCTATTCCAATTCTTTCTAGCGCTCTTGCTTCTCTTTGCTCTTCATGATTATGACAAAAGTGGACACTTGGATGGTCTGGAATTCATGAGGCTGCTGAGTGAATTGGTGTCCCAACAGGCAAAAGGACAGCCTGCATCAGATATGGTAAGCACATGTTATTCCTCAGTCTCAGATAAGGTTGGCACCTTTGCCAACTTTTTTTTAATAATAATTTTATTAAACTTTACAATTAAAGAAATAAAAACTAATGCAAACTAAAAAAAAGAAAAAATGGAAAATGTAAAAAAGAAAGAAAATAGAAACAAAATTAAAAATGTAAGAATATAGACGAGAAAAAGAAAAAAATATACTGACTTCCTCCTTCATAACAAGTATAAACAATTTTAGTAAGTTATCACTTTCTTTTAAGATACAATAAATGGTAGCGTTCCATATTGATGTCTTACCTATAGACAAATCCTTAAAACCTCATCATTCATTCCTGATCCACAAACATCCAAGAAGGATTACTAGAGTTATTATTTGGTTATCTATTTTTTACTTTGATCAAATAAATCCACTTTATGTTCCTTCCTTTTACTTTTAACAATCAAGATCTTTAATCCTTCAACTAATAATAATAATAATAATAATAATAATAATAATAATAATAATAATAATAATAATACAGTTGGAAGGGACCTTGGAGGTCATCGAGTCCAACCCTCTGCTCAGGCAGGAAACTACACCATTTCGGACAAATGGCTGTCCAGTCTCTTCTTAAAAACTTCCAGTGTTGGAGCATTCACCGCTTCTGGAGGCAGGTTGTTCCATTGGTTAATTGTTCTAACTGTCAGGAAGTTTCTCCTGAGTTCTAGGTTGCTTCTCTCCTTGATTAGTTTCCATCCGTTGCTCCTTGTCCTGCCTTCAGGCGCTTTGGAGAATAGCTTGACTCCCTCTTCTTTGTGGCAGCCCCTGAGATATTGGAACACTGCTATCATGTCCCCCCTCGTCCTTCTCTTCATTAAACTAGACATACCCAATAATGTCCTAGAACTTGATTTCTTACCATTTTTTTCTTTGTCACTTCTCACAAAATCCTCCAAAACTTTAATAGGTTTCTTTTGTAAATCCAATATAATAAAGTTATCCAAGTCATACTTTTAGTTTGTTATCTGTTTATTCCTTTTAATCATTAAGGTATCAACTGGTGTCATCTGCATTTCCAGTGCAGCATCTTTTTCTATATCATTTTTGTAGCCTCTCATCTTCAAATCCACTTTCAAATCAATCTCAGTCTTATCTGGTAAAACTTGTTCCTCTTGATTAACATCAAGTTAATGGTACATACTCTTAAAAGTAACTTTTGGATCCATTGTTACTCAATGTCCCTCAGTATGTCTAGTGTCAAAGTACTGCTCCATTCTAAATTAGTTCATCAAATGTAAATGTTCTTCTTTAATTATAATTGTTAGTTCATTCTGGCTCCCTCTGTAGTGTCCAACCTTCAAAGTCCTATCCTATCAGGGGCTTTTTAGAATTCAAAATAACAGCATTTTCCCATGGGAAGGCTAGTTATAATTAATTTCAAAATCTTATTTCAAATCTATCTGAACCCTTAGTCCATTTGTAGCTTTCTGAAATCAATGTTCTAATAACCCTTTTTCTGTTTATTCCACATTGTTTAAACTTTTAAGTTTTAAGCTTGTATTTAAAACTTTTATGAAGGATTGAACAAAACTCACCTTGTGCTATAAAACATGCCAATCCATAGATTCCTTCTATTGGGATGACTAGTTCACCATGGATCTTCACCGGAAGTCCCTACATTTATACCAACTCTTGAGTAACACAAGAGTTGCCTCTAGCTGTTCTCACTCTTTCTGATTGAGCCTTATCTGAATCCCTGTATTCAGTAGATTTTTTTTTCTGTTCAGTTGTGTCTGTTTTCAGAGACTGCTTGGACAAGTAGTTTTCTTGGCAAACTTTTTTGGTAATGGTTTGCCAGTGCTTCCTTCCTAGGGCTGAGTGAAAATCACTCACCCAGAAATCAGATTTCCATCCTGATGCTTTAACCACTACACCAAACTGGCTCTCTCTCTCAATAGATAAGCTCCAAATAGTGTACACTGTTTCTGTTCTAAAAGTATCTTGTTGGCCATGGTAGGAAAAGGAAGCTGAACTAGACTTGGCCTGATCCAGCTCAGTTTTTTAAATTTTTCTTCTGTCTATAGAATATGTCAGTTACATTGTTCCTTATCTTGTGTTGATAATTGGAAGGCTTTCTTGATTACCTCTCCTATTCTCCTTTTAGGTAGTGCCAATGGTGGACAGTATCTTGGAGACTCAGGACTTCAACTGGGATGGACTATTGGAGCCTTCAGAGTTGTTTCTTCCTCCTCGGCAGGGAGAGAAACCAAACTTCCTTACCTCTGTCAGTGAAGAAGATGGCCCAGTCCTGTGGGCACTTCCTAAGCCAAATAAACCAGGTTTCCCAAGTCCTTCTGACCAACAAAGCAATGGAGGCTCCCCACCTGCACCAGCAGTTCAGGAGCAAGACATGATGGGTGACCAATTGTGGATCCCGGAGAAGCATGGAGAAGAGCTCGGTCAGGAAACCGCAGGAAACCCAGATCAACAAGGGGAAGAGATGCCTTCTGCTCCAGGAGATTGAAATATACCCTGTGCATAACCTTAGGCGATTGGCTTGCAGGTCAATTTCAGAAATGGAATGCAGATAATCACCCCTTTCCCAACATTTCCTTCTGTGCAATCTGCTCTGAGTTTTCAACTCTTCTCTACCAAAGCAAAACAGAATAGGATTCCCTGTTCAATCAGCTCTGCACTCTGTTATCTAAAGAGATTTCTTTTCCAGCTTTCAAGGGATGCATATCCCAAATCTAAAACTTGAGAAACAGAAGTCACTAAAAAGTTACCCCTAGCACAATGGCTCCCCTTTCCCCTCAGTGCATCAATCAGACATAGAAGCCTCTTCCCTCCCTCCCCCAGTATACAGGACCACAGCCTTTCTAGGAGGTGATGCTACCTAGGTAGGAAAGATTTTTCTAAACTGAAAAGCCTGCCTCAGCAGGTTGTCTCCCCGAATAGTCTCTCTCTTCACAGAGCAGGCTCCCAATTCTGGAGAGCCTGCTTAGAATCTCTTACTCTGCCTTCCTCAAGTAAGGAGCTGTAGCAGAGGGACAGGACAGCACTTACCACTATAATTTCGCAGTCTGGCTAAGGATTTAGCTGTGCGTTTCAGATGATCATTCTGGTCATTCTCTCAGCAGGTTCCGTTGGGGAAAAGCCTACACAACACTGCAGAAGGAATCACGTAAGTCTTTTGCCAGGGCATTTAAATTATCTATATAATTTAAATGACCTCCCATCTCACAAAAGTGATTCTGAAATTAAAACAAAAACCACAAGCCATGATTTCCAAGGTTAAACCAGTAAACCCCAATCACAAAAGAGAACCCATCAACAACAGCAGAGCTTGCGTAACCTCCTGGTCCAAAGCCTGGGGAAACAGCCAGAGATGCGTATGCTTCTCCTGTACTTCTGCTTCTCCAAATCTGCCAATAAATCATCTGCAAACTGAATATGTTTCTGGACCATTTAGGAAGAGCAACAAATTACCAGGAATCTTAGTGGCTTAGAGAGACAAGGAGGAACTTCCCTTACAAGGTAGGGGAGCTGATAATCACAGTATCTGGCAAAGAGGAAAACTTCAAGGACTGTCACATTGTATTAATCCACTGGGCAATTAGCTGTACTGTATTCTCCCTCACATGATGTCTTCAGCCAGAAGAGAAGTAGGCTCAGTAGTGGGGAGGAGTGTTCTGGCCATTGTTAGGTGGCATGGATTAGTATTCTCCTTTTCTCTGTTACTTTACTGAAGTCTTTTAAATCGCTCCCAGTCTTGATGTACCGAATAGCAGCAAGTGCATCAGCAGCATTTTAATTCCATGTTCTTTCTCCTCTCATTACTTCTGGCACTCCTGGATCTGGCTGGATGAGGCACAGCCAATCCCTTTCCTCCGAGGCCAGCCTGTGTGTGCGCGCGCACACACGCACACACACGCACACACACACACACACACCTTGAGTAGAATTACTTGCATAATGAACCAGGAGCAATCAGCAACTTCAAGTATTTTATTTATCTGTTCATGGTCATAAAGTAAAATCTCTTTTCCTCCTGGCAAGAGACAGGAGCATCTGAGCCAGCTCAGCCAGACTGCATATGGAATGTGTGGCAGACAGCCTGACATGTCTTCCCACCTGCAGGAGATGCCAGAGGAGCAGTGCCATTGCCACTAGCAAATAGAATACAACTGTGAGAAATACAGTATTAGTTCATGGTCCAGTGAAATCCAGCAGGTCCAGTTTTCAGCATGTTGCTCACACGATTCCATCATAGCCGTGAACCCCACACTTCCGGCCTGCCACCTGGCATCCATAGGTTAATGCTGCAGGAAGTGCTTTTCCTGCCACAGAAAGTGAGAAATCAGTTTAACTTTAGGGCAGATGGGCTGTACAAGAGATGGAGGAAAGATGGCCAGGAGTTTCCTCACCATTCAGATCTCCTTGATGCTATTAGATAGTGGGTTGTTGTGCAACTTAAAAGTATTCTGTCTGAGACACAGAAGCAACTGTAAAGGGTTCTGCCACTCGTGCTATATCCACAAGAAAATGAGAAGCACCCAGAACTTACCTTTGCTTAGAGCCAGGATCACAGCAGCATTGAACGTGTCTCCAGCCCCCAGAGTGTCCACAACAGTTTCAGGGGAGACTGCATCTGAATGCACCAGCAGTCCATCTGGTCCCATTGCGTCAGCTCCATACTCAGCCCAAGCACAGACCAAAGTAGCTCTAGAAATGGACCAACAAGGTAGGGATGAGTGAGAATCCCAAAATACAGAAGAATATGGAATATACAAATTAACCTATGCAGTGTTTTGGATTCATCAAATGAATAAATCTAAATTACTATACAAGCAGGCAGATGCACGAATGTATTCCTTGTCTGCAATATTCCAAAGTGTATGATCTCTGGAAAAAGTAAAGATGCTTCCAGGTGTTGCAGAAAGATGGTACATTTTCATACCTGTCTGCTTCATAGTATTTTGATGGGACTGAAGCCAAAGCATTGGACCAGCATTAATAGATATTTCTCTCCCCATTACTTCCATACAAAACATTCTCTATTCCAGTTATTTGGGACCTCATCAGCAAATCTGAAGGAGTGTGAGTTACTGATAGAGACTTTGCCACATAACTGGGGAGGCTGACTCTTGATTATCCACCCATTCCAATAATGTACCCAGGCAAGAAGCTGAATCTATCTGAGCTTTCCTTTCAGTTCTCAATAGATAAGGCTGTGCAACTCAGCCTTTGGCCTAAACAGAAAGAAAGATAGAAGACCTTAAGGGAACACTAGATAGGAAGGCATGATATAAATTCAATCAATAAAATATTAAAAGAATTGTGCTTCTGACATAGGATTACTAACTAAAGCTGCTGCAAAAGATAGCACCCTGGATTGTCTATCACATGCAACAAGCATTTAATCTGATTTGGGCGTATCGGCTTGTAGCACCAATTCAACCATGATCAGTACAGTTCTGGTTTAGCATGGAAAGAAGCCACCCCTATTGCAATTTATTCAACAAGACCCAGTCATACGTGGTTTGGCAGAGTCTATGTATGACTCCAGTCTGAACTAAGCTGCTAAGAAATAGCTCTAAAGCTGCTGGAAAAGAAGAACTTCTCCAAACCATTAAATGACTTGTGATTTGGGCTCTCAGATTTCTTACAATTGATGAAGTTGTTTGAGATGACCTCTAAAGAGCTTCCATTTTTGCCTCTGAGATTCTCTTCATTCTGCTATTCTTTTTCATAACACCCCCAATAACAGGTGAAGGATTCAGGTTTGTCCCCATGTTTTGGTTCCCTCCTACCCTGGCTTCAAACGCCCATAGAGCCCTTTCACAGCCTCAGGAGCTGAGTAGAATCCAAATGTCTTGGCCACATCTTTGCTGACAAAGACCTAGAAGAAGAGAACCACAATAAAGTCACACTTTTTGGTTGAGCCTTATTACATAGTATCTCTGGGTGACCAGATAGTGAGTGCTATGTGTGAAGGGAATGACTGTGACTCTCAAGAGCATGGGGGTGTATTCTCAAGAGCATGGGGGTGTGTTCTAGCTAGATTTAGAGAATTTCACCTCACAGCTGTCGAAATCCCTCAAGAATATTGCTGTTTACTTCTCTCTGCACACAAAACTCATCTGTAGAAATTCTCTGGAAATGTGTGACTGAAACTACTATTGATTCAGAAAGTGAACTTAGAATCCTTAATAATTATACAAGGGATGCCAATACATCTTCCTATGTGAAGAACGTAACTGAAGGGCAGGTTGTTCTTCATCACTGTGATCTTTCTTTCTTGACCAGCTGTGTTTCCCACCTACATCAACCTATATCACCTTCACCCTTGATCCCTTACCACATCTCCATAGGAAAACAGCTGGTACAGTTCTGGCCTGGTCTTTTCCACCTCCAAAGATGTGGTCACTCGCTCAGATGGTGGACAGGCTTGGTTATACTTTTCCACCTGTTGCAGCATTTTAACCTGTTCCGAAGCATTCCTCCCCTGGGAGAAAATGCTACTGTTAGTGACACAATCTGAGATGTCTGTATTTGACGTTATTCCTGGAATTATTGAAAGCCTTTGTGACCTTAGATGCCTCACCACTTTCACTGATTGGGCCATGTGTACCTGCTACTCCCGAAATTGATACCCAGCCACTTATGGTTTGGATAGTGGACTCTGGTGTGTTTGATGAGCCAAGAAACCCCAGCGAGTAGGGAATACTTTCTTCCTCAATAGTGAATAGGCATGGTTGGCACGTATTTTGAAAATTTTGCATTAAATGTTCAGCCTATTGCCAGGTTCATTTCAAGTTTCTAGTTTGTTGTTATAGGCTGTGTTAACATAAAATACCTAACTTGGTTACCTCATTAACCTATTTTCTGTCACACAATGCACTGAACCATAAACTAACCAACAGGGTAGGTTCATCCATGATAATTTACAGAACAATTTTATAAACCATCACATTATGGAAACCCGTTCTATGTGGTAAATTTATCGTTTAATCCTAACCAAGTGTAATCATTTGTGCAATATATTACTCTTGGTTAGGATTAGACCATTCATTTGAATTTGTTAAAAGTAGATATGAACACAGCCATAGTCTCTGCTTTTCCTTGTTCTATTGTTGAGTTATTGGCTTCATTGGTATTTGAATTTTAGTTACAATTATCTGTTTTATATTAAAACATCTCACTCAAATTTGATTTCAGAGGTACCATTATACTGACCCAAACAAATAAAAATGGCATGCAGAAGATAGAAAGCAGGGTTAGAAAGGAAGAGCGGAAGATTGGCCCAAATAAAGAAGTAGAGCAAGCCACCCATAGACAAATGCTTAGGGAGGATGGCACAATTCAAACTGCTGCTGACAATTCCCTGCCATCAAACATCACCTGTCTATGTGTAAAAGAGTGCCCACATATTGTGGAAGGATAGTAAATCTGACCACCATCACTTTATTCATATGAACAATTGAAACCAACCCCCTTTCCAGTCAAGGCCTTACCTCCCAATGGATCCATTTGTATTGAGACAGGTCAACTTTTTCAAAATCAGCAGCTGTCACATCTGGCAGATTGCTGCAATTGAGAGAATGGGAAGTGGGAATACAGGAAGAAAAAAGTTTAATTAATGCAAAAAAACTGATTTCTCTTCCATCTTAAATCAGTGAAACAGTAAGCAAATGCATACATCCTTACAATTAAATAAAACAGGAAACAAAACACCTGTTCTTAAGCTCAGTGCTCTATCTCGTGTAGCATCCTGTTTTCTTAGCACCAAACCAAATCTAGCAAATCCAAAGGGGACATGAACAGTTTCTTATTGCTAGTCCCGAGTTTCCAATGAATAAACATATTTCCTCTGAATATGGTGGTTCAATTTTATACAGAACTGATTTTGCAAGCTTAAAGTTAATTTCACCTCCTACTGGGAGCAATTCCAATGTACTTTGGAGCTGCTTGCAGCTGTATAGGCAGCCATCCCACGTAAGAATGTCTCTATAGCTTCATTCCTTTTCCCCAAATTTGGCAAAAAGCAAATATGAAGAAATCTCTTGGTAAATGTATCATGTACGATTGGTATGGAATTTATTTACTTTAGAGATGTATCTAGGCATCTAACTGAACCATAATAAACTGATATGCCAACCTCTTTTTTGGTTTCCATGATAACAATCTAAACTTGGAGCCATCGCTTGAGATTAAATTGTAATGTACTCAGAATAAAGAAAGCAGACAGTATATACACATAAACTGAAATATATTATAGAAAACAATGATGGCCATCAGTCTGTACAGTGTTAAAAATTACAAAATAAACATGAGAAAAAAGACTAATCTCAACTGCTTACTAAGTCTGCAATGAATGCACATTTAGCCCTAATAGGGCCATTCAGTAATACTGAGATTGGCCTGCCTACCCTTGTTCTGCATCTGTGGACTGTCCTCCTTTCCTTAAGCCAGGGGTGTCAAACTGCCAGCCCATGGGCCAGACGCGTCACCAGGAAACCACGCCCACCCTATTGCCGGCAATGGGGAAAAAGCTCCGATACATTGTGCGACGTCACATGACGTTGCGAGTTTGACATGTCTGCCTTAAGCTATTATGGCGGAAAAAGGATGCTTGACTAGAACTGAGTTTGATCCTCCATTCTCAATTTGTTCCTTTTATTTCATAGCTCCCTCACTTTGAAAACATTGTCTTAGCACTAAGCCATACTCAGGAGCTTCATCTGGAGATATTCAGCATGGAAACGGATGATATTTAATTCTCAGTCCTCATTTTTAAGGATTAACTTTACCTGAAATGATTTGATTTTAATGATTAACCCACCAGCCAAGGAGACAGAGATTGCTTTGATCAAAGGCCACAAAAATCACATTTGGAAAGATGACAAGCTTGGGCATTCTGCATGTCCTCAAATTATTAACCAAGCCTTGACACTCTATTGGTAATGGGAGATGGAAAACTGCACATTTCCCACCCCTTGGGAAAAGATAAGGGGGTCATGTAAGTGTTTATGTATATTATTTACTTGTTCTTTCATTCAGCTTGTCTAGCCACCCATCTCAGCAAGTGACTGAGTAGCAAACCATCTTCAATGTAAAACAATTTAACGCCCATCTTAATGGTAAGATGGGTGGCCAATAAATTTTATAGATAATTTTTCATCATAAATATAAAAATTAAAATACACAGCGGGAAAGTATCACAATTGACAGTTACTAATACAGTCAGGAGACAAGACCCTTCAGACACTTGGCTCTGCAGGCCAGGTGCAGAACCAGGACATTAGGGCTTTATGAAAAATCAGCAGGGCCTGGGCCCTCCTAATCTCTGGATGGAGAATATAGACACATGCGCAGGCATTGCTTGTAGACACAAAACACACTTAACTTAGTCAGATAAAGACCAGGTATAGGTTACCCTTGATTATTTATTTTGTTTTTGTAGTTGTGGAGACCTGGTTTGTACAAATACTATGTAGTTGATTCCTGTATCCCCTCAGAATTGATTTGTTTAGCACTGCCCAACCTACATCTCACCTGCTGTTGTCAAAAGCCCAGGTTCTTTCCTGCTGTGAGCTGGTGGGAGTCACACTTGAATTTCTCACTCTATGAGCCAAAACGCTTCTTGAGGAAGGGGAAGGTCACTAGTTGACACAACCATATTTGGGAAGGATAATCAAGAATTAATATTGGCAATGATGATTGACAGCAATCTGGACTTAATTAGCAATTGACCAAGAATTAATAATAAATCAGATTTTATTAGCTCATGCATGGATGCTTTTATTCCTTTCCCATTGGGTGGCATGTCTGGAGGAATCGGATAGGCATTTTAAATCCTATTTTGACCTGCTCAAGCAACTCTTATTTTCCCCAATAAACTGGAACAAGAGCTATATTAATTCCTATGTAGTCCAAGGAATTAAAACTGGATATGCTATTTCTTAACAAAGCTATAACTATTACTATGTGGTCCTGCTCTCAACACAGAAAGGGGAGTCTATTCATTTACTGGATGTTGACTCTCTGATGGGGAGAGGGTAGTTTTAATATTTTTTTCTTATTATCTTGCTATTATCTTGAATGATTTTTTTTTCAAATTTTATTTATAATACAATTAAAAACAAACAAACATTGGATTTAACGTGACATTCCAGTATATACATTCTGATCAGATTATTCCACTTTTTACAATCAATTCTTCATCTCTACATATACATCTAAGTTTTATATACTTGTTCTAAAATAACATATATTTCTATCTTAACATTCATCTTTAATCCTGACTGTCCTCTTCAAATTCCTCCAGCAGTAAAATTTATCCCAGGTTTCATAATAAACTGATCCACATTTATCTTTTAATATCATTGTGAGCCTGTTCATTTCCGCACATGCTAATATTTTATGTATTAACTCTTTCTCTGTGGGAATTTCCTTGCTCTTGGATGATTTTAAAGGAACAAATAGGGTTGTTCTTTTGGGTATCAGGCTGTCCAAGAAATCCCATAAGTGAAACCTAGTCAGGGAAAAACATCCTAGATAGAAGAAAGCAATGGGAAGGAACTAGCATACTCTTGCCGCTTTATTTTTCAAAATGTTTATTGTTTCAAAATTATAATAACAAGTAAGTCAATCAATGTAGATTTCTTGGTTATTCAGGCAGGCTATTTATTAGGTGATACCCATTTCTCTCAGGTTCAGGAACTCTATCTGTAAAATGGAATCAAGCCATCAGGTAAAGAAAAGTTCAGGCAATGGCAGACTGCTTACTGCATGCACAGCAGTTTCTCCTTACAAATAATAGTCAGACAATAAGAACAAGTGACTGTATTTAGAATTGGCTAGCCTTAATTTCAGTATGATTCTTTAATGGCTTAACATACTGTACAAATCCACTATATTTGGTTAGTTTATAATGCAGTACATTGTGTCAATCCATGGGTTGAAAATCGTTAATTCAGTAATCTAGTTAAGTGATGCTGTCAGTGCTGCTAATATTGAATATTCTTGCTTTGACAAAATATGCAGAACTGTCTGGTGCTTTTAGAGTTAATTCAGATGAGAATGAGGGAGGAGAGAAAAGCCCACCGAAAGGGAACTGAAGAGAACCTTTGCCCTTCAAACTAATTGAAGAACGTAAATCATGACAGCAAAATAAGGGAGGGGAAATGCTAGCAAAAATAACTGCTCGGGGGTGGAGATTTCAGATCTTAGCATTCTTTCATCATGCTGTGCCGACATTTTGTCACATGAATAAAAAGATTTTTTAGGATAAAATGCCTGGAAGTTCTTTGAAGTGTTTCATTAGTCGGAACCTTGACAGAAATATGAATGTTGTGTAGGTGTTAAAGCTTTGCTAGGCAAAAAAGTTATTAATATTTGATAACCAGCTTGATCATTATTCCATATGTACTTTGGAAGTACAAAGTGCTATATAATTTATATCCATTTATCTATTAAATAATTATGACATTAATAATTAATATTAGCAAATAATAGTAATAGATGGGAAGGAAGAAAACATTGTACACATGCACACGCAAACACACCAGGCTATCGTCTATTGTGGTAAGCAACAGTACATGGAAATTAGAAAAGAAGTAAGAAATAGTAAGGCAACGCTGTTAAAGACATGAAATTAATAAAATAAAAGCAATTATGACTATAGTTTTTCACCATCATCATTCAGAATACCTCTCTAGACCTGGTCAAAATAGACTATTCTCTAAACATTCCATTTATTGTCTTGCATATTTTATTTTCACCTCATTACATTAGGTAATCAAATTTCAACATCACCTTTGCTCAAAAATTATTTAATGAAATCCTATTCTTTATAGCATACATCAAGAAACATATACTACAGTAGGTTTTCTGACACCTACTTCTTTCAATGATGTATTGAAGGGGAAAAAATCTGGTTTGCATAACCTTTGTCCAATATAAAGTTGCATTGCACTTCTGAAATTATTTCTCATACTTTTTCTATCAGAATTCTACCAAATGCTTACTAGGCACTCAATATGCTAACACACTTGTAGCTTTTTGCATTGTTCACTCTTGTCACCTTGCCTTTTAGATAGGGTAACAGTAATAGCATAATTCCCATCTTCAGACTCAGTTGTAATCTTCCAATACATTAAATAAATTACAGTAAAGTCACTCCATAGGCAAAATAGTTACAATAATCTACAGCTACACTGTCTTACTATTTTCCAATGTTCTCACAGGATTAATGATTAATTTTGAAAGAGTATTTTGGAGTGTTGTGTGGGGTGCTATAAATGTTAATGTCCATGAACATATTGATAATCATCAATATGTTCATGAACACTAACATTTATAGCACCCCACACAACATTCCAAAATACTCTTTCAAAATTCTCTTAATTACATTTTCATCCCAAATCATTGTATCATTTCCATCTTTAATTTCATAATCATTCAAATTGTTGGAAGGTCCTTGTTTAGCTCTCTTCACCTACTGTACTTACAAAATAATTTTTATTTCCATACAAATTGCTTAGTACAGTGATGGCGAACCTTTTAGAGACCCAGTGCCCAAATTGCAACCCAAACCCCACTTATTTATCACCGGGTGCCAGGTGGTCATGGCAGACTGGGTGGGTAGGGCCAGGGTGGTGGGGGCCAGTCCATCGCCATCTCCAGAGCACGGCACACGTGCCCACAGAGAGGACTCTGAGTGCCGCTTCTGGCACGCGTGCCATAGGTTCGCCACCACTGGCTTAGTATCTTCATTTCTTTTTTCATTGTAACTGTTCCTTGTTTTCTTTAATTTTATTCTTTGTGATTACCGTTCCCCCTATACACATTAAGCAACATCTTACTCTCATTCTCACTTGTGAGCAGTCTTTGTCTTATATGCATCTTTTTCTCATCAACATCCTTGTTTATCATTCTATTAAACATCCTTTTTCATGTTTCTCATTTTATACTTCCCGTTCTCTCTACTGGGCAAGATCTTCAAGCACATTTTAAACATGATGCCTATAAGCACTTAACAGGAATGCAAGAATTAATAGCAGTCAGCATGAGCTTGTCATAAACAAGATTAACCTTATCTCCTTTTCTCAGGGAATCACCCAATTTCTCACAGTTGCTTAATAGATCTGGACTTAGTGTATCTTGATCTCAGCAAGGGATTCCATCAACTCTCACAATATCCTCATTAATAAAATGGTATAATAGGGGCTAGATGATGGAACTATTGACCCAGAAATTATACCCCAGTAGTACTCCTAGCCAGCTCCACATCACCTTGGAGAGTAGTATCAAGTGGAATGCCACACAGCTATTTCCTGAGAACTTTGCCATTTTTATTAATGACTTGGATGAAGGGGGAGAAGGAGCGGTTTAGAAGAGAAAGAAAGAAATGAAAATCTAGACAAGCTTGAACCATGTACTGAAACAAACCATGCAATTTTATGAGCCTGCTTCTCCACTCTGTATGTAAGCAGCTAAAATGGGAAACTAGGAAGGGCCTATTCAACTATTTAATAATATAAACATAATCCTAGTTATACTCTTTGTAATCTTTTCCTGAAAAAAAAAAAGTTGCTGTAGCAGGCCAATCCTCCCCCACCACACAGCAGTTAAGGCCACCTGGCCTCTACTGGGGTGCTGAGAATCCTTTTGTGCCACCCATGGGTAGAGGGGGGAAGGATGGAGGCAGCAGAGCCAAAGTGGGCCAAGTCTTACGTGTCATAAAGAGTAACTGTCCGAGAACCGTTGCGGCAATTGATGAGGCAGCAGGCACATGGTGTCTCCCCCTGGCTCTGCCAGACCAAGTGGGCAACTTCTACCTTGCACCGTTGGAAGTCAGACAAGATGAAGCTTGGGGCCAGGGAAGAGGAGAGAGAAAAAAACATTAGACTTCACTGCAAGGAATGCTCAACTTACGCACCTAGCAGCGTGCAGGATCGTGCGGGTGCCTGTGGCTGAATTGCTGATCACCGTTGAAATGGGCAAGCTGCATGCCAGATGCAAAGCCACATGGGTGAGATCCACCTCATAGCGTTGGAAATCATCACGGACGAAGCTGGGAGGGCAGAAAACATGAGCATCTTCTTGGGGGTGGGGTGAGGTTCTCTGTCTGGTAGAATAGAAGGCAGATGTTCCCAAGCTTCTCTTCAAGACAGCAGAGCTGTTACTGCCGCTTGACAAAGGTTGTCAGTGTACTAGAAGCTGCAAGGACAGAGGGAGGTAACTGTCTGAAGAAAGCAGATAAAAATGAACTCTGCAGTTTGGAAGCTGAGAGCTCTAATGCCCTCAATGCTTAGTACTTATTAAAAAAATCTCATTACATTTACTCCGGAGCTCTGCTCCCTGAAGCACATGCTGCTCAGGAGTCAACAGACAGAATTTATTCCATAGTAAGCAGAATGGGAATAGAATGGTCCTTGATCTGCCTCAGATTTCCTAAAAGCAGAAGATCATAAATTTAGAGCTTGAGAATATAGACTATCTTCACCAACTTGCTTCACCAGTTCACTTCAGGATCTAGCAGATGCATTTACACAACATGCCAAGTTTGCTTCATGGTTGTTTTGATTAGTTACTTTGTGGCTTAATGTTTGGGGTGAACTCCTCTGTGTCATTAGTTTGTTTCAATGTATTACCATATATGAGCCTAAAAGATTAATTCAGTACCCAGATAAAACATGTTGTGCGAATATGTCCACAAATCTGACTCCCCAAATCTACCCCAGGTTAATTGCTTTGAACAAAAGCTACTAGAACTTGGCTACATCATTACCTTTTCATTTGAAAGTCAGCTGTTTCTTAATCCATCAGATGTCAGTAACTAGTAGCAGCCCATCCACACCTGTTAAACTATTCATGTGAAATTGCAGTCTCAATTGTTCCAGTATATATCAAGAAAGTCTCTTGCATTTATTCAAATGGATTTTCTAATTGGGCAAAGAATTAAAACTAGGCTCCATAACTGAAATAAGATGACCACACATCAACACAATTTTGGCAAGTTTTTGAAAGCATATACAAGAATTTATGCTGATCTATGACTGAAATGAAGATTTAATAAAGACTAAAATAAGAACTACAATGAAACAGTGAAAACTCAGGGCTAATGGCTCTACAGCCATTCAGTGACATTATGGCTTACTTGCCTAACCAAATCAGCTGTGAAAAACAGTGTTTTGGAAAACTAGGAACTGATTTAATATGATTATTAATAGAGAAAACTGAAAAAGTATTGTCTTAATAGTACATTCTAAATTTCTCAACAGTTTTACAATAGCTAAAATAATTAATTAAAATGGGCAAACTAGGCTATATTCCAAGGCATACTTGGCAATAAATATGCTTTGTATTGTCCTGTTAATATGTTACATATGAAGACATTTTGGATAGCAATACTGTTGGGATAAGATTATTTTATTATTTTTATTCATTTTGTCTGCTGCCCATTCACCTCAGGGCAACTTAGAATATTTAAAAAACCCCTCTATTTTTATGACCCTGTAATCCCTTAATTCAGGATAGAGTCAGGGTGACTGGATGGAGCTGAACATTTACTGGCAGATGCCCTTCCTGATGCCATGAGCAGATATTTTTTCTTTGTGCCCTAGGAGAGAAACATCTGCTGTTACCTAGTACCGAACTCTCAATTTTCCGAGTGGGAGGCAAGCATCTTCATCATTAGGCCACCATAATGCTCGGTGGTTTACAACATTAATGACAGCTTACAAGATTAAAAGCTATAAAACAATAAAATATAAAAATTCTAAAATCAATAAAAATAGAATTACAATCAAAAGTAAGATTATAGTTTTCATGTGTTTCCTACCTAAAAAGAGTTTTAAAAATGTCCCATTAACTTCAGAATCAGAATAACAGAGTTAGAAGGGACCTTGTAGGTCAGGGGTGTCAAACTTGCCATGTCATGTGACATGTCATGATGTGTCACTACGTTTTTCCCCTTGATGGAGCTGGGGTGGGTGTGGCTTCTGTGTGATGCATCCGGCCCATGAGCCGCAGTTTGACACCCCTGTTGTAGGTCATCTAGTCCACCCACCCAACAGGAGACCCTACACCAACTTCAGTAATCATGGTTGGAGTCAAGTATGAAGGCCACAAAAATGAAAACAGGGACTACATGAAAATTTGCGACTGCAAGTTCCACATCTCTCAAACACCTGGATGGAAAGTTTAGTTTACAGCCCAAATGTTGGAGATGTGGAAGTTTAGATGCAACCTATTTTCATATTTGGTGGACTTGTAGAGATATAAAAGCTTTTTGGATTAAGATTTGGTAGAATATTCAAAAGATTTTTAAGAGAAAGATAAAATTTACTCCGCAATTATTTTTGTTGGGTATTATGCTTGATTTTGATGTTAAAGAAATTAATTTGATGCTGAATCTTATAACAGCTGCAAGATTATTGGTGGGGCAAAATTCTTTGCCTTTTATGGAAGAATGGATACTTAAGGTGTCTAATTTAGCAGAAATGGCGAAAATCTCCACCTATTTGAAGGACCATTCACAACAAAAATATATTTCAGTCTGGAGAAGATGGATTGATTATATTCAAAAGAAATATGAGACTGAAAAGTATTATCTTGCTTATGAGTAGATTTTAGATTATTATTAATAGTTTAATATGGTTGAATTTATATTATTTTTAGTGTTATGGTTTAATTATATTATTATTTTTGTTTTTAATTAGTTAACATTTGTTTTGAAAAGGAGTTAAAGTATGTTATAGATTGATAGTATAGTCGGGTAATGTTTGTTAGATTATGATTGTTTATTTGTTACCCTGTAATCAGCTCTGGGAAGTGGGGGAGGAGGGAAGGAGTGGGAGGGGTTTGGGTTATATTGTATTAAATTTGTAAAACTTTTAATAAAAAAAAAGAAAGTTTAGTGCATAAACACACACACACACACACTTATAGACGTACATAATGACCATTTCTTAGTAATAGGTGCCAGGGATAAGATAATCATGATAGGTTAGCTTAGTTAATTAACTGTTATCTTTGTTCTTCCAACAGTTTCTGTTGCACCTCAAGTGTTAATTAACTTAGCAATGCTAGAATAATTCTGTGCAATTGCCAATTACTGACAATCTGAACAGTCATTGTCTTTGTATCACAGGTAATTTAAGCTTTAATTAAGTTATCAGACCATAGTTTTGCCTTTCATTAACTGTTTATTTCCTGTTTCTATTTTTTTCTATCTAAACCTCACAAAGATTGGTTAATTGAAAATAATAATTCATACATGAAGTAGAATATAGTTCACAGAAACCTCTATTATATTGCAACTTTTTGCTATAATCTTAGGCATGCATATTTAGGAATAAGAGCTAATTACTCTTTTTTTAAGTAGGCATGTAGGATTACTCTATTATTAACTTTAAGAATTTCATAAGACTTATTCATTGGACATAACATAATATGATTAGTCTTTAAAGTCTCACAAGATTCCTTGTTGAAATCAATTATTTTAAGGGAAGGATTTTTTTAAATAAAAAAATAGAACAATATTAATGAAAACAAGTTGTTTTAAAAGCAGAGGCAGAAACATGCCTGGCATCCGTGTTTGAATCTCATGTCAAGTCTGACCTGTTGATCATTTGACTATCACTAGCACGTGATAGACTTTCATTCCAAGGACATGGCTTGGAACAACCCAGCTTGGAAGAGAAACAAAGTTAAATGAGAGAACAAAGACAAATAAAGACAAAAATCAGGGAGATTTTTGGTTAGAGGCAGAAGAAAACTAGTCCACTATGACACTGAAATGAATCCCCTGCAGCCTGATTTGAACCTTGTTTGAAATCATTGAATTAACCCATATTCAGGGTTGTACCAGCAATACACTGAACTAGAAGCTAAATGGACTGGGTTCACACAACTTGCTGAGCCATACAAAACAAGTTTTTAAAGTAATTAACATGTTAAATAAACTCTGACATTGTGTGAACTTTATGGTCACTTCATAACAGAGTACACATACCAGCGTCTCCTTTCTTACTTGTGACAGCCAAATAATAGCCTAGTTTGGATTTGCACATGTACAGTTTGTTTACTGAATTAATACATTTCTTTAAACTGTAAATGACTAGGCTTATAAAAAAAACATTAAGCCACAAAGTTGTGAAAATTAGAATTCTCCCCTATGAGGCAAATCCAGTATAACTTCTCAATTCCAGGCAAGGAACCACATCAGTGAACAAAGAAAAAAATATCTGCAAAACACTTTTGTACAACATTTGTAGACTGCTGGGCCAGTCATTTTGTCTCAACCGTAGAAAGGAGGTAATGGTAAACCACTTCTGAAAAATCTTGCCAAGAAAACTGGAGGGCTTCTGGAGGCAGACCCTGGACATGATTGAATGGGAGGTGGGGAGTGTAGTAAGATCAGACACAAATACATAACAAAAATACGTTTTTCATGAAGTGGAAACACACACTTCTGCCCTTCCCCTTCTGCTTTTAGTGTGTGTGTGTGTGTGTAGCGGGTAGTCACAATCCCCTTCTGTATTCAGCTGGCACTTACTTTGCAGCATGACCAGGAGCTAACGAACCCATAAAAGCACAAGGGGCGCCCAGTAGGGCCAGAACGGTACAGGTGTTGGAGGCGTTCCCTCCACGTTGCCAGCGCTGCGACAAACACCTGGAAAGAAACAGCCAACAGCAGCCTCAGCGTCCCATTCTGACAGGCTCTTTAGGCAGCCTAGTATCCGGGACTCCGGCAAGGGACCGAATTGAGGAGCAGCACTTCAGGGCTTGGCATTTATTTCACTCTCTTCCAAGGGGTTCTCAGATCATGAAACAGACAGAAAAACTGTTTCGGGACGCCAAGGCAACACCTCCACCCTCCTCACCCCCGGAATCTCTTCCGCGAGCTACAAGTGCTCTGAGTCCCGGCCGGGGGAACCGAGCCCCGAAATTTCCCCCAAGTGTGAGCTGGTTCCTGCTTATTAGGGTTTCGGAACTGGACAGAGCAGAGAGCTCTCCTCCCGCGACACGGATCAAAACGGGTTAGTGCGAGCGGAGAAAAAACCCACCCACTCCTCTCCCCCGCAGTCTGCACCCAGCCGTGCTTCATTGCTAGGCCTTTGCTGGGGTGGGGGGAGCAGCAGCGGTACCTAGTGTCCGAATCCTCCTCCGGATAATTGTCCACCACGCTGATTATGTCCAGGCACACAAGTCCGATGCACAAAATGCGTTTCTCCTCCATCGGTAGAAGTGGGCGTCTTCCTCGGCTCCTGTCACTGCCGTCCGCTGGTCCCAGCCGGGGCTCAGCGTTCTTTTCTCTTGTGCTGATCTCACCCCGAGATCAGCGGATGCCTCCGCTCGCCCCAGGCAGTCGCACAGCCATTGGCAGAAGCGCATGACGGTCGGTTCCGATTGGCTCCCTCCACGGTATGCAAATCAATCCTACCCTTTGGTTCAAAGTGTTCTTTCCCTCTTTTTTATAGGACTTCTCCTCCCCCCCCCCCAGCCCAGGAAGTACGGCTCCCAGTCTAGCGGGTGCCCGTCCAATGCCACCCACCCTTTTCGTCTTTGGAGCTCAACGGTCGCTGAACTCCCGGCAGAGGAAGTAAGGCCGGCCTGAATCGTACCTGCCAACAAGACGTATCTAGAACTGCTGTTCGGGAAAAAAAAACGTGGGCAGCCCCGTTGCAAATGAAAAGGTTGCTTTCACAACCTTTTGAGATAGAACAATACAATAATCATAAAGTATCTGGTTTTACCCAATAGGCTAAGCTGCAGAAAACCAAACCAAGGGTGGCATGAGGTGAGAATGCACCCACTAACTGACTGCAATTGGGGATTGTATAAACAGATGTTCTGTGCATGGCTTGCCAGTTGGCTACTTTGTGAAAGTTTTGACCCTGGTCACAGATATAAAGCAAGAGTTGGAAAGAAGGAATACATATCCAGTCAACCAATGCCAGGGTCCTGGATCTATTCCAATTTCAGTGGTTTAAAAGAACCTCCCTCATTTCAGAGGTTTCTGTGCCATTTAGAGCCTGATCTAAATTACAGAAATTGCAGAAAAGTGGGATGGCATGTCTCCACAACTGACACTCCAGCAAGAAGCCTTCTATTTTGGTGTTTACTGATTGTTTCCCCACATGTAAATCCAAATGTAAATACTTTCCAGGGATCAATATCCTTGAGAGATTTGGATCATAATGGACATCCTCCTCTGTTCCTTCTACCACCATTGCTGGTCTCAGCCAGGGTTCAGCGTTCACTCCTGTCCTGCTGATCTCATCCCAGAAAGAGAACTGAAAGTTAATGTAACCATCACAATCTTTATTTAATACTTGCAGGAGTAAATATGCAGTGCTCCCTGGGACGGACACCAGGTATGTATGCAATGTTCTGGCATGGCATCTCTGCGCAGGGGGTGAATTTGACCTGAGCATTCTTTAATCAAAGGTGCAAAACAGACTGTCTATTAAACATCTATGGGAAACTAACTTATCAGCTTGTGAAATACCTTCCCTGTAACTCCTCTCTGCACCTGGCATTTATTTCCATGTACTGTATATTCCCGGGCCACAGTATGCATGTACTATTTTTTTATAATAAAAGCCTATGCAGTGGTTAAATATGGCACTAGCTTGGTCCAGGTATACTGGTGCAGGGTAAATGAGTAGACTTGAACAAATTAATGCAACAAATAGATTATTTCAGTTCCTTTTTGCTGCAGCGGACAAAAACATTTGTTCCCATATAAACAATGACAGCTGAATATGTGCCTTTTGGAAGCCTCTCAGGCTGTTTTCTCCCCATATGCTTGTTTAGGAAAGGAGAGGCATCCAACCCAAGGTGATTTAAGATTCTTAACTTTGATGATTAACAGCTGCAGATGTGCCTCTCTCTGTTACACGCTCTGGAAAGAAGAAAGAAGCGGCTCTGGAGCCCTCAGGAAAATTGGAGAAAGGGCAGCACTTCTCCAGAAGATCCTGCAGGTTTCCTTGTGAGTTATCTGTTCACCAAGTAAGTGGGTGAAGGTACTACTATCAATGTTTTGTTTGATTAGTTGCACCAATAAACAAATTGAAGCTAGCTTTATTTTTTTAAAATCTACTCTGTTGGCAGTTGTTTTCTAAGGCTAGAGATATAAACCATTCCTTCACGGTGATTTATAGTGTTTTCACATATACTGCAATGATATAAGCCTTGTCTTTCTTTTCTTTTCTTTTTTGGCATAATTATGGTTGGGAGACTCTAGTCTAGGAGATGCTATAAATTGCTAGTGGGAAAATGAATAGAAAGATCCTTTTTCTGACAAAAATTCAGTGGGCTGAGAAAAGGTCTCCTTTTTTTCTGCAGGTAAAATATATGTCTCACTACTCAGTTTGATCCCTACGTCCATCATCTACTTCCATATATTGTGCTCCTGCTAATAAGGCAGCTACACAAGAGACCTCTCTGGGAGGCTGTAATGTTCAACGCTATTCCCAAACAACTATTTTTATTTGCAATAAACTGAAATTATGCAGAACCTGTACCAGAAATTTCCCTGTCAATCTCAGCAAGTAGAGGAGTCTCAGTAGGCCACAGAGTAATACCTCTGGCACAATTTTCAGTTTCTTTAGAGGCATAAAAGTGCATTATAAATGTTCAAGCAAGAAATTCAGGAGGAGGGGCATAGATTTCTTTTTAGTACAAGGATACTGTATCTAACAGTCAAGAAGGATTAATAAATAGCAATAGCATTTAGACTTATATACTGCTTCATACAGTAATGCTTTACAGCTCTTCTAAGCTGTTTACAGAGTCAACATATTGCCCCCAACAATTGGGGCCCTCTTTTACCGACCTCAGAAAGATGGAAGGCTGAGTCAACCTTGAGCTAGTCAGGATCAAACTCCTGGCAGTGAGCAGAGTTAGCCTGCAATGCTGCATTCTAACCACTGCACAATGCATCTAAATCAGATGCTTCGGTAGCTATTGATTTTATAAATATTTTTATATCCTGAATCATAGATGTTAGGACTACCAAGTACTTCAGTTTTAAAATAAAATAAAAAATTATTGAAGCATGCAAGGTTGTAAGAATAATACTTATCCATCTTTTCCCCAGGGGCACAAGTACCATTTACAAGCTACAGTGCTTATGCTTTCATGAGAGCCAGTGTGGTTGAGAGGCTAAGGTTACTAAGGTTCACTAGAAATCTGGAAGGATTCCATAGCATTGTGACTTGATTGGTTGCAATGATTAATGATGATAAGGAAACTGGGAACTGAGATGTGGTTGGTCCTATCACCTTGACCTTCCTAGATCTCGGCAGTTTTTGATATCATCAATGATAGTATCCTTATGGACCCATTGTAGGAATTGGGAAGGGAGACATGGTGTTCAGGTAGTCCTCCATGGTCAGTTTTAGTTTTAATCATATTGATAGGAGGATAGAAGTTGAGCCCAGACCCCGTGATTTACAGCATGTCTCAAGGCTCAACTTTTCCCCCCTGCTGTGGAACATCAACATAAGGATGGTGGGGGAGGTCTTCCATTCATTTGGAGTCATGTATAATCAGAATGCTGATGATATCTGTTGCATATCTTGTCCCTGAGCAACTAGGTCAGTGGTGGTGAACCTATGGCACATGTGCCAGAGGCGGCACTCAGAGCCCTATCTGTGGGCACGCGTGCCAAGCCCCGGAGATGGCAACCATCCCTCTTTAACCAGCCGCCTGCTAACTCGCCGAAGTCAGATGCATCCCGGCATGGCTGGTTTTCCTCTCCCCTGTTCTGTCCCTCCTGGCCTCACGTGCTCTCCTTTTCCCGGGCACGACCCACTGCATCGCCTCCTCAGCTGTCGGCCACCCGTCCAGCTCAGAGGTGGCTTCTCTGAACTGCTGGTGGTGGGCTGCGGAGCCCCAGAGTGTGCCGGTTGAGGGGCCAGCAGGCTGTGGCTGCTGACGGACACTGTTGGCCCCCATGCACTGTTGGCCTCCATGCACTCGCTGGCCTCTGTGTGTGTGGGCCAATGGTGTCAGGCAGCAGCCGCCCTGGCCCCTGCCTCGCCTTGCCCTGTGACAATGGCACCCCCACCCTGGTTCGCCTTGCCTCGCCTCACCCACAAGATGAGCCTCCTGCCCACCGCCCCAGCTGCCAGAGACCCCTAGATCTCCCCCAACCCTGCCCATTCCCCACAGGCTTCCCTCCCCATGAGCAACATCAAGGTGACCATACCCACCATGGCCACACCTACCCAGTCTGCCATGACCATAGTCACACCCACCTAGTGTGCCACGCCCACCTGGCACCCGGCGATAAATAAGTGGGTTTGGGGTTGCAGTTTGGGCACTCGGTCTCTAAAAGGTTTGCCATCACTGAACTAGGTGATTCTGTCCATTAGGTATAAGCCCTTTGGGACAGTATTCTCCCCAAAGATCCATATAACGCCCACCTTCAAATGATCTTTAAATATTTTTTTTCTCAAGCATTGAATTAAGATGTTTCAGGCTGGTTCGTTTTAATTGAGTAGGTGTTGATGCGGAAATAACGTTGATCCTCAGATTATTACTGCTTTTTATATCATGTTTTTTCTTTTAACTTTATGAAGCTCAGTAGTTATTTTGGAATTAGGTGACCTAGAAATTTAACCAATAAACAAACAAAAAAGTTATCCCAGTTTCTTTTTTCTATGTCTGGTTCCATTGTCTTCCTTGAAGCTTTGCTGCCAGAGAGTTCTATTGAACCAAGATAAGTTGTTGTCTGTTAAGAGGACACTGACAAGCATTGACCTGAGAGAATTCTGGTTACAAAATTAACCAGGTCAGGTCAGGAAAATTAGGCCACTTATTGAGCAAATCTTATAGAGCATTTTGGAGTCTGTTATGACGTATTTCTTAGTTTATACAATCATATTAAAACACAGTTTATAAACCATAATGAGATGGCTCTTAAATTAAGTTAATTAAAAACTAAACAGACTACATCAAGACTTATTGCAGGAATAGGCAACCTTTCTGCAGCCATAAGTCACATTTTGCGTTTTAATAGGGTCAGTCTTTGGGAATTACAGATGTTATCAATACAATGAACTGTTGAAATTTAAAAAGTTGATAGTAGATTAAGACACATGAATATCAGAAAGTTAGAAAAGCAATTCCACTTTCTAGTTAAGGAAATGTTAGAATATTTGTTTACCTGTTAATAAAGACTAGTATATTACTGTGGCTACTTTAATGAAAAGATTGCTTTCTTAAAACATAAGTTTATCAGAAAAGGTCCTAAATTTCTTCTAGTAAA